GAAGCCGGGGATTTGAATTTCCCGGGCTTCATTTGCATAAAGCCGGCCGGCGCTATTTTTAAATACCGGCTAGTTCGGACCCTGTGCCACGTGTAGCCGCGCGGCACGGGGTCCGAACTAGCCGGTATTTAAAAATGGCGCCGGCCGGCTTTATGCAAATGAAGCCCGGGAAATTCAAAACCTGGGCTTCATTTGCAACTCCATATGACTACATTACCCCCCCCTAGTTCGAACTAGGGGGGTAGTGTAGACATACCCTAAGAACAGTGTTTTAACCACCAGCCCATTCTTTCTTGCTAAGATATGGACTCTTTTCTCTCAGCCCTCTGCTGGGCTGGTTATCAGCCACTGCTCCCATTGCTTTGGCAACCTTAGAGCAGGGGTGGGCAATAATTTTTTTTGGGGGGGGGGCACTCCAGGATTTTGGAAAGTGGTCAAGAGCTGTATGTTTCTGTGGAGGGGTGTGAGGTTGCATGGAGGTTGGGTGGAGGAGGGGGCTCAGGGTAAGGAATTGGGTACAAGAGATGGTATGAGGTGTGAGAGGGAATTTGGGTGAAAGAGGGGGTTGTGACCTGGGTCAGGAGATTGGGGTGCAAGGTCAGGGAGGAGGGAGCAGGAGAGGATTCTGGCCTGGGGCAGGTAGAGGAAGGTGTGCAGGGCTTGGGAGGCAGTTGTGACCTGGAGCAAGGGGATGCAGAGTGTTTGTATGGTGACCTGGAGGAGGGAGTTGGGGTGTGGGACGGGGAAGGATGCCAGAGGCAGGGTTTGGCTGGGAGGTGCTTACCTACGTGTTTCCTGGCCAGCAGCCCTGCAGCACCTCCCAATTCGGTTAAAACTATAGGCCGCTCCCTCAATGTGGTTCTCAGAACCGGGATCGGGGAGAGGCTTGGCTACCCACTTCTATTGGTTGGTTGTTTCCAGCCAATAAAAGCTGAAGATTAGGCTTGGGGTGGGGAGACCACACAAAGCCTCCCCCTTCCTCCAGAGCAGAGAGCTACATGGAGCAGGAGCTGTGTGACTGAGGGTCCTGGCAGGGTGGTCTGCAGGCCGGGTCTGATGGCTTGGTGGGCTGGAAGTGGCCCACAGGACGTAACTTGCCCACGCCTGTCCTACAGGATCATGTGCTGTATTGCCTGAGGCAATCTGGTAGCAGGCACTTTAGATGGCAGGAGACCACCTTGTTACTGATCTGTTGACTGATAAGCGTGGAAGGATACTGAAAGGTCATTACCCCAGAACCTGGCCTCCCATGTGGACACATGATGTTAATACTATTGAGGTTACCACAGTTTTTATCAGAGGTTGTTCTTTGGTATTGAAGGGTTGGTAAAACACATGGGAAACTGCCTAGGCCCAGCGCCACGAGCAGATGGACACAGTGTCTATCTCAGTGATCCAGTATCATTATGAAACACAGTGCTTTGTACCTCCAAATGGGGCCACCTGAAGGAGCTGCTGGCTGGGTGACTCCCTGACTTTGATGGCAGGGCGACTGTGCCGCCAGGATCATCTCCGACCCGGCCTATTGCATAGGGACACACTGCCACCCCCACTGCCGCAAGCAAATCTACACTGCCACACAAGTCTTAGAGGGTATGTCTACATTACAAAGTTAGTTCGAACTAACAGCCATTAGTTCGAATTAACTTTCATAGCATCTATACATACAAATTGCTAGTTTGAACTTAGTTCGAACTAGCGGAGCGCTTAATTCGAACTAGGTAAACCTCATTCTATGAGGATTAATGCCTAGTTCGAATTCAGTAGTTCGAATTAAGGGCTGTGTAGCCACTTAATTCGAACTGGTTGGAGGCTAGCCCTCCCCAGCTTTCCCTGGTGGCCACTCTGGGCCAAACCAGGGAAACTCTTCGGCCCCCCTCCCGGCCCCGGAGCCCTTAAAGGGGCACGGTCTGGCTACAGTGCTTATGCCAGTTGCAAGCCTGCCAGCACCCAGCCAGGAAACCCTGCACCTGGCATGGCATGAGCCAGCCACCTGCTGCCATCCAGCCCTCCGCCTCTTCCCAGGACCAGGCTGGCGGCTCCCAGGAGCCTGCCTGGGGACGCAACAGAAGGGTGCCCGCCTGCTCTAGTGGAGAGATCGTGGACCTCATTGAGGTTTGGGGGGAGGCCTCCAATGTCCACGACCTTCGCACTAGGCACATGAATGCAGCCATCTAGGGCAGGATAGCTGCCAGCCTGGTCACCAAAGGCCACATGCGAACCGAGGAGCAGGTTTGCATGAAAATCAAGTTGGTCCAGTGAGAGCCCCGACCTTGAGTCCTGAATTTAGAACATAAGAACATAAGAATGGCCGTACTGATTCAGACTAAAGGTCCATCTAGCCCAGTAGCCGTTCTGCCAATAGCGGCCAAC